TTCTTTTTTCAGTACAGATTGTACCATAGTTCTACCTGTCTCGTAACTACTCCCTTTCAATTTTTATAACTTCGAAATTCAAGCTGTTCTTGAAACTTTATGTGACATGGTAATTGTGGATGAAAGGTTGCATCGAGGACTTGGATACTCTGATTACAAACCTAGACGAAAAGATCGATGGTCATTGTCCGTGTTAGTACTCGACGAAAGCATAGCGAAGTCTTTTCATCATGTCGTCTACCCTCTTAGCGGAGGAGACGGTGACTCATGTGCAAGACGAACGAAGAGCGTCGTCAAAGTGTTTTTATGAATTGAATAAGAAATAGCACTGGTTCATTTCTCCAAATTTGTCATTGGCAAAATGCATATTCTTCCTCCCCTGATTTTACCCTCTTCTTTCTGAGGTGCGTCTATACATCATGCCTGAAGATCTGCTCACCAGCGAAGACCCAGTTCGTACTAATGTATACATTTTTAAATATATTTGCATTCGCGGCTGGTCAATATCGGTCTGACTGCCAGCCTAGCACTAAGTACTCTTTAAACAGAGCCGTAGGTTCAACGAACTTGTTTTGGCCTATTTAAGTATGCAATGTTTCCTGTAGGCTGTGAAACAGCTGTATCCAGCCGTATCTCTGTTCAGATTATTTATATAGTCTGCTGATGACCTTTCAGCGTTAAAGGTGCAACTAGTAAACAATTATTTACTTGAATATTTCGATGAAAAATCAGCATACTTCCCTATTCCATGTTCAACCGCTGTTCATAAGGTACATGATATGGTGAGAAAAATTTAGTTCATTCACTGTCATGGAGGCCCAATCCTTTCATCTGAGGTTGTAATCATAGTATCTTTCCCTAAAAAAAATTTACCTATGCGCTTATGTCAGCTAATGACTTTCCACTGTACATGTGGTATGAAAATCGTTACTAGAGCTGCGGAGATTTCATGGTAGTACCATAGCCATAAACGGCGATCGTTCCTACGCAGGGGTCTTGGAATTCAGGTTATTGTCTAGTCGTCGTCAGTTAAGGCTAGTAGAGTTAGCGGTTGGAAATCGTATTTAAAATGTTACTACGCAACGTTTATTGCTGCGACGGCTTAACGGCAAGGGTAATATTCTTCCTCATGAACAGATCTGAGTCAACGCGATGTTTTGTGCTGTCTT